TGGAGTGGCATCCTTGATGTTTCTATCTCCCTCTCCCTTCCTCTCTGAAATCAATGAAAATATATTTTTTAATTAAAAAAAAAAGCTTTTTAAACATCCTTGCCAGTTTGGCTCAGTGAATAGAGCATTGGCCCTTAGACTGAAGGGTCCCGGGTTCGATTCTGATCAAGGGCAACCTCGGTGGCAGGCTCCATCCCAGGCCCAGTAGGAGGCGCATGCGGGAGGCAACCAATTGATGTGTCTCTCTCACATCGATGTTGCTCTCTCTGTCTCTCTCCCTCCCTTCCACTCTCTCTAAAAATCAATGGAAAAATATCCTTGGGTGAGGATTAACAACAACAAAAAAGGCATTGGGAAGCGGGGAGGAAAAGCAAAGGAAACACACTGTGATTTCATTCCCACCTCACCCCTGCCCTCAGGGTGTCAGTGAAGAAACAAACTCCAACAGGTGGAGTGGCACAGGCCAGGCCGCTCATCGTGTCAGCAGTGAAACAAGTTTAAACTTAGCACATCCTCCCGGCCTCTTACAGAACCTGCAGGGGCATCTCTGAAGGGAAGTCCTTCTCTCTGAGTGGGGTCCACACTTTCCTTGAACCCTGGCCTCAAGAAACCTGAATGGCCCCTCATCCTTCTGGGAAGGAATCCAAAGTCTTATAAATTCAAAAGATCACAGAATTTTAGATTCTCTTCTTCAAGTCAGTTTAAGAAAACTGCATACCGTATCCCTCCCACACACACTTAAGGATTCAGTCTAAGTGAAAGGTACTGAGAAGTCCTGCAGAAAATTCATGTTAAACTTCGTTTGGTTCTCAACCTGTAGGTCGCAAACAATGAAAATACATCCTGCATATCAGATATTTACATTACGATTCATAACAGTAGCAAAACTACAGTTATGAAGTAGCAACGAAAATAATTTTATGGTTGGGGGTCACCACAACATGAGGAACTGTATTAAAGGGTCGCGGCATTAGGAAGGTTGAGAACCACTGTATCCAATGCATCTGAAATGTTACATGGCCTCCTTTTTTTTAGTGACTTTTATTACCACCTTTAAAGACATTCTGCATTCGAGCTTCTTACTGTTCTGATGAGGAAGCTGCAGTCCAGGGAGGGTGGGACCCGCCTTTGGGCTTGTGCTGGGCCCAGAGCCAGAACCAATGCACCAGACTTCCTTCCAGGCAACACTCTCTCCAGGAAATCACGCTTCAGTATGTCCATCCATAACTCTGATACATAAACAGTACACACAGCACGTGAGTTGATAACCTTGTAATTGTCAACTTAAAAATTACCCTTTTAAAAAATACAAAGAAATCCCTAGGTGAGAGCTGAGATCCTGTATACAAATTTGAAGTGTGTTTATATACACTATTAATCGCCCTTGTCATGGTTTACACTACTTATCCAAGCCTCGCTGATATCAACTGTTTATCTTCACAGCCCTCCTTCCCACTAAAATACTAACACTGATACCAACCACTAGCACTCTTTTTGCTCTCCATGGGAAGGGTAACATTAATGTACCAATGCAATTTCTAGTGTTTCTCTTCATGCATTCATTCCAATGGAACCCAAGCTGAAGAAATCACTCTTTAAAAAGATAATCACAAAAAATAAAAATAAAATAAATAAAAATAAATAAAAAGATAATCACAGAACAAATCTTTGTCCCAAGTCCTTCATTGTTAGATCAAATCCCATTGTCACTAAGTAAAACAATAAAATAAAATAAAAATTCTTTACTTTGGAATTTGATTGGAGTCACAACAAAAAAAGGGGGGGCATGGAAATGTCAACCAAAAAGGGGGCATGGAAATTTCCAATCCTTCCCCCAGAGAGTTGGAAATCTTTTTTGTTTTTGCAAAGATTTGTGCTGGAACAATATTTGTTATATTAAAATTTAAGTTATGCTTGAATGGAAATTGTTTCAAGGGAATGTACAAAATGGAAAACATACCTCAAGAGAGGTCAGTCCCCAACTTTGAAGAGTACGTACGAGTAATAACGTATCAGGAAAGGTTAGTTGGGCTTTCTGTCTAAAGAGTTAAATGTTCAGTCCTGTATCCTGCATTTGTTACCAAAGCTTCTTTATCAGCAGGAGGAGGCAAATGATACCCTGAAAGTGTTTTAAACGTGCAACTTTGCTTATCTGCCTGTATTAATGATCCCTGTGGCAGTTGTTATATTAACCTTATCACATGGCGCAGCAAGAGGGAGGACCTATTGTAAAAGGAAGAAAAAGAAAAAGCATTTCATTTCATCTTGGAACCTTTTTTTTCAACCTAGCAATTTTCTGATTGCCAAGTGGGGGCAGTGCATGTTAGATTCTGACTAGGTTTTCTTAAGATCTCAAAGAAGAAACTAGACGTTTCCCACTGAGCGATTCACTGAACATCAAATACTGCAAAGAGGACACAGATTAGAATACTGACGAAATGCTCATTATGGGAGCTCTGGAATTCGGGGTCTGACGGTAGGTTTCTGAGAAAGCCAGTTTCTCCTTCGCGGCTCTGAATCACTCGTTTGTGGCTGTGACATTACAAGAAATGCCATTTGTCCCTCATAAGACTTTTATTTCCTCCTTCATACAATCTCTGTGTTCACAAAGAGGAAATTCAAAGGCTCCGTCTTTTCATCCCTTTTAATTTTGACAACAATACCAAACCTGACCCTGAGACCCTTACCTTCTCATCCTCTCAGGATGGCTGGAGAAAGCACCTAACTTTAGGACTAGAATTAATATTGTCATTCAACTGCAAATGCTTGAGCTCAATACACCTACCAGCAGAGTGAGCACAAGCCCCTTCCAATGTTTCAGGTAATATGCTTTTCCTTTTTTCTTCTTCTTCTTCTTTTTTTTTTTTCATTATGCCTTTAATGCAGAGCAGGGCTGCTGATTACAAAGAGGCGGTCGGACTCCAGCAATAGGTCTTCTTCACTAACCCTCACTGTCATGGACATTCCAGCTGCTACAAGAATAAGAGGCTCAATCCATATTTGCCAGCTCTAATATGAAATCTGTCAGAGCCCAAATTAATGAGTTCCAAATTCCTTACATCACGATAACAGGTTAAGACTGGTCAATTAATTACATAAATCCTTCCCGAGTCATTGTGCGTTCCCAGCCCAGATTGTGTCTTACATACTCCCTGACACAGGCCTTTTGGATCCTGTTGTTCCATAGAAAGGCCCCATTTAAGCGGAGGCTGCCTGCCACGGCGAAATGTTAAATGTCACACGTTAAATTTGCACTTTTCTGTAATTGCTTTTGTTGAAAAAAAAAATTTAAATTAAAGCACAGGGCTCCCAGTACACCGCTCTGCAAAGGGCAGGAATTGTACTGAGCGGATCCCAGCGCCGGCAAGGCCCCATCTTTTACCTCTAACAGTTTGCACAGTCCCCTCTGCACCTGGCGCCTGATAAGCACCAGAACCCAGAACGTGCATGTTTGCGAAAATAAACCAAGTTTCCCTTCCCAGCAAATACAAATATATATATATAATTTCTTCTCTTTACAAAGGGATTAAAAGGGGATTCTTTCCATAGCCAGCTTCCCTTACCAGTAAAGGCATTAGCTATATAAAGCACCGTTGTTCTAACCACGTCTTCAGGAACATGGATTGCCCAGATGTGTGTGTGTGTGTGTGTGTGTGTGTTATGCAGGCCTTTGCCTTCAAGAAGAAGGCTGCTGACGGCGGCGTTGCCCTTTGGGTTTGTAACTGGTGCCCACCTACAGAAGGAGAACAGTGACGGATTCAGATCTCAAACGTCTGCAGTAATCACCCAGGCCAAACCTTTTCCTTTTTAAAACATCACAATGCGCTTGGAAACCACAGCTAGTGAGAGCTACGGGGTGCCTGTAACTACAGACTCCCAGGTTCCTAGCGCAACCTCTCCTCAGCTCAATACACTGCCTGGCGGCGTGGCCTTTCTGTGTGCTTAGGTGCTCTGTGTGGAATGGGACCCGTGCCGGCGTGTTTCCTTCATCTGACTGCGGCCTGGGGCTTCTGCAAACACACGAGCCAGCAGATGATGCCCGCGAGCGCAAACTGAGATCTAAGGGGAGATCTTTCCGCTTGGGAGCTGCACCACGCACCACGCACCATGCACCATGCACCATGCACCACGCACCACGCAGACACTAGCAGGCCAAGGTCGGCTCCTTCTCCGCCAGCCGGCCCGCCAGCGCCCTCCTCTGTCCTTGCGCCGCCTTGCACCCTCTGCCACCGGTCGCGCGCTCCTGTTTTCCAGGGCATCCATTGCAATGGAACCCAAGCCGACACCCGGGTTTCCTGGGCTAGGGGGGCTGGTCTCTCCCCGGTAGGGAGCGGGTTAAAGCGACTGGCAGGTCCGCCCTGCAGGTTTTAGGGTCCTGGGAAGACTACAGGAGAATCGGGTTAACTGATGGGTGTGGTGCGTGCGCATATAAAACACTTAGGGCGCGTGG